GTTGAACAACAGGTTCTGTTATTGAATTGACATTTGATGGAATTTGTTGCATGACTGGTTCTGTCATTGAATTGTCATTTGATGGTATTTGTTGCATGACTGGTTCTGCTGTGGAATTATTGTTTGCTGGAATTTGTTGTAAGACTTCCGATCTAGTTGTGGAATTTGCATTTGCATTTGCATAGAACTATCCATTTTAAATTTATAACTATCAACTATCCACTTTGAAAAATGAGGGGCCTTAGGATGTCCCCTGTATAAAGCCTAATAAAGGAGAAAATTATGGTCGGCTTAATATGGTCGGCTCACTCTGAATATTTTTCATTTGTAACGGGTCGGAACTGGACGTAGTAAATATAAGATGTGCCAAAATCCATAGTTTTTAAATTTGGTGGTAACGAAGTGCAACGAGGTGAACGAACGCTAAAGTGAAAACCTCAAGTTTTGTCTTGATTCGCAATGTTTCCTATAGTTTTTCCAAGGCTATTAAAAAAGGAAGATATAATCACTTATATAAGCAATATTCGTGCCTTGTTATTTAATTAAAAGCATCCACTGCATGGTAGGTGTTGGATTGATTATCCAGTAAGACTATAACCACAAGCTCAACCTGTAATTAAAATTTAACAGATAACTTAACTATATATATATATATATATATATATGCAGTGAATTAATCCCGCCAGTAATCACAGTTGCGAGAAGATGCATGACTAGATATAATTTTGTATGCAGCAAATAAAATAAAGAAAATAACGTAGTCGTAGGAGAACATGCCTGTATTAGCCACCGCGGATTGAATTTTAGAACGATAATGCTACCACGGCGGCAAACATGCTCGTTGAGCTACATGATTGTAAAGAAAACTTGTCATCCACTATCCATCTTATAAGTTTGTGCGGTTTAATGCCGGATCGAGATGTCGATTATGACAAGGATTTATGTAGGGCAGAGTTCTACTGAGGGCCTAATTCATTTGAAATAACAGTTGAAAGTGAGGCCTTGAAATATAGCAACACGGTATAATCTGTAATTTAGCGTTGGGCAACGGTTGTAGATATGATTCCACGAGAATGAATTTAGTTTCACACTGACCCTTCCTCCTGTTTTTCAAGGTAACTTTTCCAATTTATTTAATTCCGAGGAAAAATGTCTGGGAAAATTCATGTCTTCGATGTACTTTATAATCTTCGGAATTCTGCAAGATTTCACACCAAAATTCTGGATTTAAAAATTTTCTTGGGGGTGCACCCCCGGACCCCCTAAACGGTTTCACGCCTTCACGCTCCCCCCCCCCCCAAAAAAAAAGAATATGCTCTTAGGAAGGTTTGCCTTATTTTGGCCGGGCCTTGGACTGCGTATTTTATTCTTAATCTTCAGTTACCGCAGTTCAATAAACGACAAGTGATAAGAAACGAATCCAGAACTGATTTAAAACGAATCCGGCAGAACATTTAAAACATAGAAAGATATAAATTTGTGTTACAATAAATGAAAACATACTGCACATGCTTGTACTGGTCAGAATTTTTCCAAGGGGCCTAATATTTTACCAGCGGACCGCGTCCCAGGCCCCCTCTGGCTACGTCACTGGCGGGCATCTTGAGTTGCCACCACCCCTCCAGGAGGAACACCATCACACCAATTGCATAATTGGTGGAAATTAAAATCAAAACCGGACAATGATGGGCGAATTAACCGCGAGTATAAAGGCACAATGAAAACGAGGAAAAAATTACTAATGCACGTCGTCACTGTACGAATTCCAGGTTCCAAATGACGAATGCATGCACCCGCTTTAGTTACCCTATCCCTATGAGGCGCTGATGTAAGGAAACATGGTTACCAAGTTGTTAACCTTGCTTATTGCATAACCTCATAAATATTGAAAAGTCCCATGATTGATCAAAACTGGGAAACTCATCAACAGAGACTGATTAACATAAGAACACAAAAAGTATCGATAAATAAAACGACAGCTAGCTAGAAATTATAGAGTATCTCTCGTCTTGTGAATAAAACGTCTTCTTAATTTACCATGTGAGTAAAAGTAAGAATGCTAATTTCATGCAAGTTTATGGTAGAACTGTATAGATACTGTATTTCAAAGGAGATGCTTGTTTTTACACAACCGCGCATATATTAATTTACATAACTTATAACTATATAGAGCATATTCTTTGTCGTAAATTCAAATCAAAATATCTTAGAACGTTTGCGATGGTGTTTAGCTACTGTGTGCCTAGATATTGTGGTTGTAAATTGTTCGTCGTTTTCACGTTTTAAAATCCGTAGAACAATTCTGTGTAGCAGTCATTGTTAACATATTGGCAGCAATGGCAGGTGACGCTTCGCCCCGTCGGTATGTTAAAATATTCTTGAAAGCATCGCGGAAATTCTTATTGAGTAGTCCATAGATTCCAGGATTGCAACTACTGTTTAAAATGCTTAGCATTAATGCTAAAAACATGAAATCCTCGGAAAATCCACAATTTCCGCGGGCCAAGCATAACATGGCTGCACTGTAGGGTGCCCAACATATAGCGAATGTTACGACTACGGCAAGTGTCAACACCGACATTTGCCGTTCTCTTTTATACCGAGCGTTGGAAATGTCCCGGTTTGTATTATTTGTATGAATTTGTCTGCTCTGGCGCAAAGCGTAGACAATATGGAAGTTACAATAAATCAAAATAACCAATGGTAAACCAATGCCAAGAATAACTAGCGTCAACGTAGTTGCTAAATGTTTAGCCCAATCAGGAGAACAGTGGGAAAATCTCTTGAGGAAAATATACTTAGTGGTAAGGAAAGGGAAAGCACTAAGTATTGCACTCCAACACCAAATGATAGCTAAGACAACTTTTACTAAATTCAAATCGAAGTAACGTCTGTGCTTTAGCGGATAATTAGTCGCCATAAATCTTTCAATACTGATAAAAGTTAAGGTATTAATCGATGCAAGGCAGAGGAGCATACTTGTAACACCAGTAACATAGCAAGGCGTTTCACTTAAAGTTTCTTCCCTTCGAAGAAGACGCACAACATGCGTTGAGGGGACAATTGCGCTGAAGAGAAAATCAGCAACACTAAGGTTAATAATAACAATATTTTGCAAAGTTCGTAGCTTCCGTTCTCGGTAAAATGCCAAGAAGACTAAAGTATGACCAAATAACGCAACAAGCGTTAGGAAAAGCGCAAACCAACCTCGGGATGACTTGTCTTCTGCAAGCGACGCGAGGTAGTTTCGGCAGGTAAAGTTTTATTTGAACCGTTAGTGAACATATTCATAACAGTTTCAATGAAGATAACATCACTCCATCATTTCTGAAATCTCCAGCTTTAAGCCTCTGTGCTCCATAGTTTAAGCGATAACTCAGCAAGTCATCAATGATTCATTCATATTATATTCTCATGTTTCACACAAAAATACGTCATTGCAATCATACCACATATGATAGCTATTTTCGAGTGCTCGATAGTGCGAAGAAACACTTCTAACGTGTGTTTCAGCGTTTATAATTATTGGAAGTCGAATGATTAAATATCACCTAGCTAGCTTGCTGTGTAAACTAATTTAAATTGCAATTATGATTTGGTCTTTGATTGATCTTTCTGTTTGGTTAGGGACTGCTCATTATTTATTGTACAGGGGGAGACTGAGGAGAAACTCTACAGTTATAATAATTTTTCGTTGCCCCCCTCTTAAGACAAGTAAAATTTTCAAAGCCCCCCCCCCCAACAGGCAAAACAAGAACATAAATTTTGGTCCCCCCTCTAGCTCTTTATCTTTATTTAGAGAAACAAAAACTCTAGCTCTTTATTTAGAGAAACAAAAATAGATAATGGGGACCAATAGACAATTCCCATTATAGACTAATTTTTTATCTTAGCAAAAAAGTATATTCCCGGGAAGGGCCTTCCAAAGTTTGCAAATTTTGTATACTTTTGTATTGCAATTTTCGCATGCAATACAAAAGTATACAAAATTTGCAAGGCTATAATTTCCGTATTTTACAACATTTCGCAACCAAACTTTGCAATGATTTACTTATTTTAGTATGCTCTTTCTAGCTGTGGTGATTTATTTGCATCAAGGCCGGATTTTGAGGGGAGGTGTGGAGAGGTGTGCACCTCCCCTGAGATCGTTTTGCAACTCCCCTGAGAATTTTTCCATCTCTCCTGAAAGGTCATGCACCTCCACTTGGGAAAGTTTCACTGATGGAACAAAGTGAAAATGTGATGGTTGTTAGGGTCTACACTTCGTGACGTAAGAAAGTTTTCTCTGTAAAATTGAAACAGTGATAGCCATTCATCTCTGTGTCAAGTACCCTTTTAATGCAATGTTTTGAAAGAAACTTTGTAGCAATTGTAGTGAAGGGCAAGATCGGAGTCATATACACTCATAATTCATTAATACACTGGTACATATGTACACTACTAGTACATGCATACCTCACCTTGTTATATATTGGCCTGTTCTACAATAAGCCCTAACTTTCCATGGGAGTTGTGAGCTAGACCGCTGCACCTCCCCTAAATTTTTTTCCACCTCCCCCACTATTTTCACTAAAATCCGGCCTTGATTTGCATCTCTTTGCCTAGTTTTAAAATTAGTCTATAATGGGGATTGTCTACTTACATGAACATAAGAGACTTTTTATTTGGCTTCCATTTATGAATATTGAAGGTCTATAAACATTGTTATTTGTTAAGTTGTTTTGTGATACATTTTTAAAACTACTAATGTTTTTTCAAACTGGTAAATATTTTCGAAGCCCCCCTTCTTTCGTCTCTCTGTATTTTTCAAAGCCCCCCTTTCAGGTTTTAAAACATTTAAAAGCCCCCCAGTTTATCCTCAACTCCCCCCTGTACAATAAATAATGAGCGGTCCCTTAGGATATTTTAATGAGCGTTGGTTCTAGTTGTTCAAGCCCCAATCTCGTTCCCCGAGCATGCCCGTTCGCACCTGCGAACGGGCATGCTCGGGGAACGAGATTGCTGCAGCCCCAATCTCGTTCCCCGAGCCTTCGTTTCCTTCCCAAGGATTGCAGGCTCGGGGAACGAGATTGAATCTACATATTTAAATTAAGGCAATTTTCCATTGCAGTCGCTTTGCCCGCGCGGGTGGAGCGACCGATTTTAATCACGTGAAAAATCAGTCGCACGGGCACGCCAAGAAAGTTGAATGTAGTTCTACTTTCATGGCGTGACCGCGAGCATTCAAACGGACAAAAAATGCACAGGATAGACAACTACAGAAAAAGTTGAGTAATGTTCGCTCCGCCCGCTCGGGCAAAGCGACTGCAATGGAAATTTGCCTTTACACGAGGGATCGGCGATAAGGGTTTCGCTCGTTCGAATATTTATTAATAATCTCTAGCATTGTTGCGTGAGCATTACTACTGTATAGCCATACAGGGTGTCCCCCAAATTTTGAAATAACGTATTGTTAACTGTTAGCTAGAATTTGAATGCCTTAGCACTCTGATGAACTCACAAGTACATAAAAGCTTGACATAAGTAAATTTTATGGATAAAGAAACTGTTTAAGAAACTGCATAAAATTCCTTAATAAGTCAATATTCATAATATATGCACACTGTCAATATTTTACGCATCTTTGCGTTCGGCTTAGTGCTAAGGCATTCAAATTCTAACAACACGTTATTTCAATAGTTTGGGGTTTTTTAGGACCCCCTGACCCTGTATAGTACATGTCTCCGGAAAGTGCCAAAGTGTGTAACAAAACTTATAGAAGCCTTAAGTTAAAAAATATATAAATTATAATAGTATGCCGCATAGCCATAGGCCGCCGCGAAAAACGAGCTCGAGGAAACATCAGAAATTTCAAATGTTTCCACAACAATGTTTAATCCTAGTTTATTCAAGACTTGGCCAAATACCAAATTTTGATAAACCAAACCCGGGTTTGAATCCGTAAGTAATTCCACTGACATGCACTGTTTTATAACATACACGTATATATACATGCATGCATCATGGTGGATCGAGACAATTCCTTAAACGAATCGCCACCACGGCATAGAGGGAAGTCAGTATATAATGACTTTTGATGTGAACTTGTTTCTGTACGATTAAAAATATTTATGTGGAATCCTCTCCTTACGTTACGGACCTTACCTTACGTATTTTGTTGACTTGAATGAATGATATATGCTGGTATATTGTAGAATGTCAGTATAGAATGAGAAATAGTCTGCAACGCAGATTTTATTAAGAATTGTACAAAAGAATAACTATCGGTTAGTCGGCACAAGTCCGAACAATGCTATCCTCATTAATTGTCTGAAATTGTTAATCATATAGTATATTACGTACAATCGCGTGCAAAAATAATGAGACTTTTCAAATTTTTGGCCATTTTAAGGTACGTTGGCCTCCCCCCTGCCCCATGATCAATGTTGGAAAAAGTGGGTTGAATTTTCTCTTTTCAGTCATCCACACGTACAACATTGAATTGGGGGTGAGGGGGGCATTTATGCATGCGGTTGTCGCAATACTAGTTTTGCTCCTGATTGTCTCTATTTGTACTTTTGAATAAAACGCAATTCGTTCATGTTGATTCAACTTAGTGCTCCAGGGAAGACGCTGACTTGGATTTCTTGCTTAATGAACCTTTTGCTATATATTTTTTCTCAGCGGTTTTCTATAACTGAGTACTTCATGTAAAAAGAATATAGGGGATCTTGAGAACTATAGTTATTTTTTGTTAGGAAAGGACGATTAATTGATGAATATATACATTGGAAGAAGTTTATAAAATAATGAATAAAATTCAGACTATTTTTCCCATAGCTGACAATCATGAGTATATATTTTTTTCTGAAACAGAATATTTTGTTTAAGTTCAAGTATTTTATAACAGACAACTTTGTATACTCAATTTTGGAAACCTACTAGTACTTATATACAATTTTGGAAAAATTTCAATGATTTTCCTACTTTTAGCTGAATTGTTACGTATAAGATTGACATACTCACTAGATGTATACCCCTTGGACTTTGTCAACAAAGTACTATCACATAGGAAACAAACTAACACAGACCAACCAAACCAAACAAGAAAGAGGATCACACTTCCTTATATAAACACCACGTCGGAAATGACAGCTAGACTTCTCAGACCGTTCAACATCGTTACATCGACATTGCACACAAACCAACATGCAAACTTAGATCCAAGTTCACTAATCATAAAGACAAAACAAACGTAACCGAAAAACATAACGCCATTTACATGTTTACTTGCAAAAACTGCCCCGACAAGTACATTGGACAAACGTCTAAGAAAATTCAGACCAGATTAACCGAACATCAAAACGCCATTAAGAGGGTCTTAATGGGGGTCTTTGGGTGTCAGTTGTCAGCTAAAATTTAAGCTAGTTGTCAGTTGTCAGTGCGATATATTGCAAGCTGTCAGTAGTCAGTTACTGCAAAAAAGCTGACTCATCATTTTTTCATCATTTCTCAGTTGTCAGTTAGGATATTTTGTCAGTTGTCACTTGTCAGTCAAAAATTCAGGCAAATGTCAGTAGTCAGTTGACCCCATTCAGACCCTCCATTAACAGACACGATCATAATTCACTCCCAGCCATGCACGCAGACGATAACGGACACAAATTTTACTGGTCTCAAACGAGATGCCTAGGACAAGCTACTACGAAACATGCCCGTGAGTTTAAAGAAGCGTGGCATAGTATAGATAAACTAACATTTAACCGCCATATTGACATTCCTGTCAGCGGCGGCGGAACAGATTTCATTCTGGGGGGGCTAAATTTTTTCGGCGACCTCCCGCCCCCCCCCCGTCGCCAAAAAAATTTCTGTCCGTGTACCATTTTAGGGGCACAATATACAAAAAAAGGGACGAAAAAATTTTTTTCGGACTTATATCTAAAAAATTTTTCCGAAATAGACTTTTTTTAAACAAAATATTGCAAATTTGTCCCCTCATACCTAAATTTTCAAAAAATAACCTAAATTTTTCCGTAATTATCAAAAATTTTTCAAAAAATTCAAATTTTCTGGGGGGGCTAAGCCCCCCCACTTTTACTTCTGGGGGGGCTTTAGCCCCCCTAGGCCCCCCTGTTCCGCCGCCCCTGATTCCTGTAATATACTTACAACTAAAACACTCACACAAAAGTCCTGTTTCGCCTTCATTAACCTTTAACCCACCCGCAACTTCCTTCTCAATATCAACTCACGATGATTGCTATCACCCGCACTCCATGGCAACCAATAACAATCCATCAGCCGAAATGCGTGATCAACCAATCAGACGTTCCCAAAGGCTTCAAGAACGAGAACAGCGCGAAAATTCAAACATTCCAACTTTCTGATGAAGGCTCGAAGTACCGAGTCGAAAGCTC